GCGAAGTGTTTTTTTGTGTCTTTTAGGCGCTATGGAATTTCAACAATCGGCGATAATTTTTCGGTAACTAACAATTAAAACATTTTAACATTTTTAAAACAGGGGTGCAAATATGCCGCCATTCAGAAATTATAGGAGACAAATCTTGCGTGTGTTATTTTTTTACAGACGTGTAATAAAATGAGTAATGATCACCCGAGAGAACGAAATGTCCCGGTGATCCACTATAACTCCTCCAGGTCGTACGGGAATATTTACGCAGGATTAGTTTTATCAACATCGGTAATTTGACCATGCTTGAATTTATGTCTTATGTAACGTTTTCAATATGGGGATACATTTAGAAATGAACAAGTTAATGTCGTATCAATAATGTATCTTTTTATGTAACTAAATATCTTTTTACACATATATTATATTTATATCTCTACTTTAAACTCAATATGTATCCCCCCCCCCTAAAAAATATTTTTACATGTGTACATGTACACTATTTACCTGCCGATGGAGCCGTATACTTGTACTGCGTCATTTATACATTGAGGTCATGATTCCGCCATTCACGGAAAGTTTTTAACGGTGTTATTTGATTTCGCCATGGTTATTTATATTTGCTGTTGGCAGAGAAAGGGCATTTTAGCAAATTACAAGATTTTCTTGATACAACTTCATGTAGATCTACTAATAAATTTTCGTACTTGTACATGTATATCTGGTTTCAAGTTCACAGAGTACAATTATAAATAGATCTACATTTAGTATACAAATGAACATGTATTATTCCCCGCGAATCACGGCAAATGTTCACGGCAAAATCGCCGCGAGTTGAATTCGCGGCAATTGTCTCAAGTTGCCGCGAATTCGCTCGCGTTATAAAGCATGAGAGTTCGCCGCGAATACGCGAATTGTGCGGGTTTCGCGTGTCCAGTACTGTATGCACATATATATATAAATGCGTGTATATATAAATGTGTGTGTGTGTATATATATATTTGCCCTGATGATCATAAGAGAAACCGGTTGGCAAATAATTAAATAAGTTAACTCATGGACTGTGTTTTTTGTTTGATTTATATATATATATATGAATAAATGCGTGTGTATATATATATATATATATATATATATATATATATATATATATATATATATAATATATATATATATATATATATAAATGTGTGTATAGATATGTCTCTTTTTTTATGCCCCCGGGCATATAGTAATTGAACCGTCCGTCTGTCTGTCCGTCCGTCCGTCCGTACGAGGTTAACCTAGAACGGCAAGTTGGATTTTTCTTAAGTTCTACCTGTACCAATGGCTTCTAAATTTACACACTTACTAATCAATACAAAGTACATGATCTGGGCAAGTTACATAACTCTGGCTTTCATATTTACTAAGTTATTGCCTTTTTCAGCACTTAGAAAATGAATAATGGTTAACCTAAAACGGCAAGTTGGAAATATCTTAAGTTCTATCTATACTAATGGCTTAATAATTTCCACACTTACTTATCAAATCAAAGTACATGATATTGCCAAGTTTTATAACTGTGTCATCCATATTTCCCAGTTATTTCCCATTTTTCACTTTGAAAATAGGGCCTTGTCTGGTTAACCTATTTCGGCAAGTTGGATTTATCTGAAATTTCTCTTGTAAAGACCCAAAAGGCCTAGAGCTTAGATATTTTGCATAAGGCATTGTCTGGTAGACCCTTACCAAGATTGTCCAAATTATAGCCCTGGGGTCAAAATTGGCCCCGCCCCGGGGGTCATTGATTTTCACTATATGTACATATAGTAAAAACTTAAAATACCTTCTTGTAAAGACCAAAAAGGCCTAGAGCTTAGATATTTTGCATAAGGCATTGTCTGGTAGCCCTCTACCCAGATTGTTAAAATTATAGCCCTGGGGTCAAAATTGGCCCCGCCCCGGGCGTCATTGGTTTTCCTTATATGTATATAGTAAAGACTTATAGTGAAAACTTAAAAAAAATTTCTTCTAGCAATTGACAAATGCTAGAGTTAAGATATTTTGCATGAAATATTGTGTAGTGAACCTCTAGCAAGATTGTTGAAATTACAGCCCTGTGGTCAAAATTGCCCCCGCCCTGGGGGTCATTGATTTTCAATATATACATATAGTAAAAAATCAAAGAATCTTATTGTCTGAAGGTACAAGGCTTAGAGCTTTAATATTTGTTAAATGATATCATCTATAGGTACTCTACCAAAGTTGTTCAAATTTTGCCTCTACTGTTAAATTAGCCCCGCCCCGGGGGCCATAGGTTTTCCTTATATGTATATAGTTAAAATTTAAAAAATCATTTTCTCTAAATTTACAAAGGCTAGCATTAAGATATTTTGCATGAAACATTGTGTAGTGAACCTCTAGCAAGATTGTACAAATTATAGCCCTGGGGTCAAAATTGGCCCCACCCCCAGGGGTCCTTGATTTTCACTATATACATATAGTAAAAAATTAAAAAATCTTCTTGTCGGAAGGTACAAGGCTTAGAGCTTTGATATTTGGTATATAATATCATCTATGGGTCCTCTATTAAAGTTGTTTTAATTATGCCCCTAGTGTTAAAATTGCCCTGCCCCAGAGGCGATAGTTTTCCTTATATGTATAAAGTAAAAACTTGAAAAATCTTCTTCTCTGAATTGACAAAGGCTAGAGTTTAAATATATGGCATGAGACTGCGAAGTGAACCTCTACCAAGATTGTTCAAATTATAGCCTTAGGGTCAAAATTGGTTCCGCCCTGGGGGTCATTGATTTTCATTATGTACATATAGTAAAAAAATATGATCTATGCATATAGAAACAAAAAAAATCTGTTCCTACACTACTATTTTGTGTTGTATTAATGCGGTGGCATAGCATTTTTCTCAAATGCAACCTTGTTAGTTTTCAACTTGGGCACATGTAGCCAAAAAAATTATTTGACCTAGAGACATAAGATTGACGAATAGGTGGAGTGTGGGGGCACCCGTGTCCTATTGACACATTTCTAGTTTCTTTTTTATGCCATGTAATGGCCGGGGCAAATAGTGTTACCCTGTTCCGTCATTCTGTCATTCCGTCATCATCAGTTTCCGTTCATTATCTTAGTAACGGTAGCACACATTCAACTCAAATTTGACATATGGATATGTCATGAGAAAATACAGGTCAAGTTCGAATTTGGTCATTGTTCAATGATTTTTGGCAGAGTTATGCCCCTTTTACTTTAAAATAATATGAAATTTTCAGTTTCCGTTTATTATCTCCCCAACGGTACAACACATTCAACTCAAACTTGACATATAGATATGTCATGAGAAAATACAGGTCAAGTTCGAATTTGATCACGGTTCGATGATTTTTGGCAGAGTTATGCCCCTTTTACTTTGAAAATAATATGAAATTTTCAGTTTCCGTTCATTATCTTCCCAACGGTACAACACATTCAACTCAAACTTGACATATGGATATGTCATGAGAAAATACAGGTCAAGTTTGAATTTGGTCATGGTTCGATGATTTTTGGCAGAGTTATGCCCCTTTTACTTTGAAAATAATATGAAACTTTCAGTTTCCGTTCATTATCTCCCCAATGGTACAACACATTCAACTCAAACTTGACATATGGATAATTTTTAGGAATGCCCAGGCTTAGTTCGAATTTGGTCATGGTTCAATGATTTTTGGCAGAGTAATGCCCCTTTCACTTTGAAAATAATATGAAATTTACAGTTTCTGTTCATTATCTACCCAACAGTGTTACATATTCAACTCAAATTTGACATATGGATATGTCAAAGGAATTGGCAGGTCAAGTTGGAATTTGGTCATGGTTTGATGTTTTTTTGGCAGAATTATGTCCCTTTCACTTTGAAAATAAGATAGATATATCTTAGGAATAAGTAGTTTAAGGTTGAATTTGGCCGTGGTTCAATGATTTTGGACAAACTTATCGTTCCTGAATGTTGGAAAAATTTTGAACTTTCAGTTTCAGCACTCATACAAGTTTTGTGGAAATGTATGTAGCCATTATTTTGGCTACAAATATGCAATATGCTATTTTCAAAGGGTTAAGACTGAATAATTTCAGTGCCTTGAACATTGTATGAAAATGGTTTGTGTTAACATTGAAAAGTTTTAAGGGCTTTGAACTTAAAATGAAAAAAATAATTTGTGCAAACAAATTTGGAACTAAATATTATAACATCTGAAATTTTGGCTGCATGCGGGGCCATCCGTGGCATGATGACACATTTCTAGTTCTTTTTTGTGACTATAAATGCTATCTTTAAACTTTAGATTATTGTTCTTTGTTACACTCACATCATATATGACAATGTTCATAAGTCTAGCATCTTTTAGTTTATTTCAAGAGTCATCTCCTCTTAGTTTAAGGATTTTGCTTTTAATAATGTTATATTCTGGTAACAAGTGGTAACAACCAGAGATATTAAAAGATTTACCCTTTGAGTCTCTGTCAGTTGGTCTGTCTGTCCGTTCCTAAAAGCTGTTTCCTAAGATCAGTTTTATAGAACTTTTCTGGCTAATTTTCTTAAAATCAATAAAAGTTGAAACATTAGTTATACATATTCATCCTGAGAAAAATGGATCTTTTGATTATCTGTTGTATAAACATAATTTCCTTACTAGGCAGGGAAATTTAACATAGACAAACTAAGAACTCAAAAGATTTAAGTTCATTCATTCATTCAATGGTATAATTCAATGTCCAATTTGAAGGGTCACTAGTCTTGCAGGACGATCGACCCTAGAAAAATTCATCGAGGCCTGCTTAATTCTTTCTTGAAGTTTTTAGATTTGTAATTGAAAGTCAATGAAAATCAGTTTTTTACACTGAAAATACAAAATTAAGTTAAAAAACATTTGTCAATATTTTAATGACCCCTATCCTTTCATTACATTAAGAACTTGCTAACATTAATGCAAGTTTATATGTATGTGTTACATTATATCACTCTACTGTTTCAGGTGTCTGAGGGTGAATCCGAAAGGATTAGATGAAGAAAGTAAAGATTACCTTTCCTTATATTTATTATTGGTCTCGTGTAATAAGAGTGAAGTGAGGGCCAAATTTAAGTTCTCCATACTAAATGCCAAACGAGAGGAAACAAAAGCAATGGGTAAGAAGACAATAAATATTATATATTAAGTACACTGGAGTGCCCAGAGGTGAGATTTTATGATGGCTAGTTACCCCTTATAATACACAGTGTCTTTTCATCAGAGTGTTTTTTTTAGCTCACCTGTCTAGGTGATAGCTCGGATGAGTTCGAACATGGGTCATCGCGGATGAAAAACTAGGTCACAGGAGCTAAAAATAGAAAAACCTTGTGAACATCTAGCGGTCACATTTTTGCCTCAATCATCATCAAACATGGTCAGGATGCTTATCTAGTTGATAGTTCGAATGAGTTCGAACATGGGTCATCTCCAATGAAAAACTAGGTCACAGGAGCTAAAAATAGAAATACCTTTTTAACACTCTAGAGGTCACATTTTTGCCACAATCATCATCAAACTTGGTCAGGATTCTTGTCTAGGTTATAGCTCGGATGAGTTCGAACATGGGTCATCTCAAATGAAAAACTATTCCACCTGAGCTAAAAATAGAAAAACCTTGTTAACACTTTAGCGGTCACATTTTTGACTCAATCATCATCAAACTTTGTCAGGATGCTTGTCTAGGTGATAGCTCGGATGAGTTTGAACATGGGTCATCTCGAATAAAAAACTAGGTCACAGGAGCTAAAAATAGAAAAACCTTGTTAACACTCTAGCGGTCACATTTTTGACTCAAGTGTCATCAAACTTGGTCAGGATGCTTGTCTAGGTAATTGCTTGGATGAGTTCGAACATGGGTCATCAGAATGAAAAACTAGGTCACAGGAGCTAAAAATAAAAAAATCTGGTTAAAACTCTAGTGGTCACATTTTTGACTCAATTGTCATCAAACTTGGTCAGGATGCTTGCCTAGGTAATTGCTCAGATTAGTTCGAACATGGGTCATCTCGGATGAATAACTAGGTCACAGGAGCTAAAAATAGAAAAATCTTGTTAACACTACAGTGGCTACTGTTTTGATCCAAGTATCCTGTAAATTGGTCTAAAAGTTTGTTTTGATGATTTCTAGGTCAAGTTGGAACATGGGTCATCTCTGATGAAAACTAGGTCACACCGCCCAAATATGGAAAAACCTTGTTAACACTCACACATTTTTGGTCACATTTTTACTCAATTATCATCAAACTTGGTCAGGATGCTTGTCTAGGTAATTGCTCGGGTGAGTTCGAACATGGGTCATCTTGCATGAAAAACTAGGTCACCGTGCTAAAAATAGAAAAATCTTGTTTTCACTCAAGTGGCTACTGTTTTGATCCAAGTATCCTGTAAATTGGTCTGAAAGTTTGTTTTGATGATTTCTAGGTCAAGTTCGAATATGGGTCACCTGGGTAAAAAACTAGGTCACACTGCTCAAATATGGATAATCCTTGTTAATACTGTAGTGGTCACATTTTTGACTCACCTGTCATGAAACTTGGTCAGAATGCTTGTCTAGGTAATTGTTCTGATGAGTTTGATGGGTCAGGTGAGGGAGTAGGGCCATCATGGCCCTCTTCGTTTTTTAAAAGCTCGACTTTTTTTTTTAAAAGTAGAGGTATTTTTATAGTCGGCGTTGCTGTTGCCGTCCGCAAACTTGTACCTGGTTCATAATTTTTTTGCCTCCACAAAGTGGGAGCATATAGGGTTGCACTTGTCCGTCCGTCCGTCCGTACGTCTGTCCATACGTCCCGAAATCTTGTGAACGCAACTCCTCTTAAACTGGATGGCAGATTTTGCTTAAACTTCCAGGGATGAACAACCTTAATGTGTAGATGGTAGTAAAGGAAGGAATTTTCGCTGCGACCAAATTTCATAGAATTATGGCCCTTTGTTGATTTTTATGCTCCCTGAAAAATTTCGGGGGAGCATATAGTCGTCGGGTTGTCCGTCAGTCGGTCCGTACGTACATCCCGAATTCGTGTCCAGCCCATAACTTTGTTATTTGAAGTCAGATTTGGGTCACTACCTTGAAGGTCAAGGTCGCAGCATGACCTTGCAGCAAAATTGTGTCCGGCCCATTACTTTGTTATTTGAAGTCGGATTTTAAAACTTTTTCACAGAAATGATCACTATATTGAGACGACGTGTCGCACGCAACATTTGGGTCACTACCTTGAAGGTCAAGGTCGCAGCATGACCTTGCAGCAAAATTGTGTCCGGCCCATTACTTTGTTATTTGAAGTCGGATTTTAAAACTTTTTCACAGAAATGATCACTATATTGAGACGACGTGTCGCACGCAACATTTGGGTCCCTACCTTGAAGGTCAAGGTCACAGCATGACCTTGCAGCAAAATTGTGTCCGGTCCATAACTTTGTTATTTGAAGTCGGATTTTAAAACTATTTCACAGAAATGATCACCATATTGAGACGATGTGTCGCGCGCAACATCTGGGTCGCTTCCTTGAAGGTCAAGGTCACAGCATGACCTTGCAGCAAAATCGTGTCCGGCCCATAACTTTGCTATTTGAAGTTGGATTCAAAAAGTATTTCACAGAAATGATCATCATATTAAGATGACGTGTCAAGCTAAACATTTGGGTCGCTGCCTTGAAGGTCACAGCATGACCTTGCAGCAAAATCGTGTACGACCCATAACTTCCTTATTTGAAGTCAGATTTTTAAACTTTTTCACAGAAATGATCGCCATATTAAAATGGCGTGTCGCGCGCAACATTTGGCTCGCTACCTTGAAGGTCAAGGTCACAGCATGACCTTGCAGCAAAATCGTGTCCGGCACATAACTTCATTATTTGAAGTAGGATTTTACAACTATATCACAGAAATGATCACCACAATAAGACATTGTGTCGCGCGCAACATTTGGGTCGCTACCTTGAAGGTCAAGGTCACGGCATGACCTTGCAGCAAAATCGTGTCTGGCCCATAACTTTGTTACTGGAAGTCAGATTTAACAACGATTTCACAGAGATGATCACCATATTGAATCGACGTGCAGCATGCAATATTTGGGTCCCTACCTTGAAGGTCAAGGTCACAGCATGACCTTGCAGCAAAATCATGTCCAGCACATTACTTCGTTATTTAAGTCGGATTTTACAACTATTTCACAAAAATGATCACCATATTGAGACAATGTGTTGTGCACAATATTTGGGTTGTTTTTAAGGAAAAAACTGGTTATTAGATTGAGGTATGTCGGCGGGCGGACAGGTGGGCGGACGGGCGGGCGTAAACAATTTCTTCTGTGCGCAACCCCTCCTACATTTCTCAACAGATTTTGACCAAACTTTCACAGAACCTTTGTCATCAAGTGCCCTGGCGCATGTTGTCGGGGTTTTGTGATTAGATAATATTTGACCTAATTATGGCCCTTTGTTTTTTTTCCTTATACTGAATATAAATATAGTGAACAATTTCTTCTGTACGTAAGTCCTCCTACATTTCTCAACGTATTTTGACCAAACTTTCACAGAACCTTTTTCATCAAGTGCCCTGGCCCATTTTTGTCGGGGTTTTGTGATTGGATAATGTTTGACCTAATTATGGCCCTTTGTTTTTTTTTTAATAGTCGAGCGTTGCTGTCCTACCGACAGCTCTTGTTTTCCTTATATAGAATTTATAGTGAACAATTTCTTCTGTGTGCAACTCCTACATTTCTTAACAGATTTTTACCAAACTTTCACAGAAGCTTTGTCATCAAGTGCCCTGGCGCATATTGTCGGGGTTTTGTGATTAGATAATATTTGACCTAATTATGGCCATTTGTTTTTTTCCTTATACAGAATATATAGTGAACAATTTCTTCTGTACGCAACTCCTCCTACATTTATCAACGGATTTTGTTCAAACTTTCACAGAAGCTTTGTCATGAAGTGCCCTGGGGCATATTGTCGGGGTTTTGTGATTGGATAATTTTTGACCTAATTATGGCCCTTTGTTTTTTTTCCTTATACAGAATATATAGTGGATTCTTCTTCTGTGTGCAATTCCTCCTACATTATTCATGATTTACATTGCACATAGTTACATTGTTTGTTGCTTGTATTTGTATTTCAACTACAACATATTTATCTACAATGGTGATGATTGAAAACCTGGTTTCGTGGCATTGCCATGTTTCTTGTTACACTTTGAACTTTGTCTGTGGCATAACTCTAACACAACAAGAGGTATACCTTCCTGTGTCCAAAACCTATTCGGGGAGCATCACCCGGTTCAACCGGCTCTTGTTTCACTATATACTATGTAGAAATTTTGTGAACGCAATTTCTCTTAAACTGGATGGCAGATTTTGCTTAAACTTCCAGGGATGAACAACCTTTATGTGTAGATGGTAGTAAAGGAAGGAATTTTCGCTGCGACCAAATTTCACAGAATTATGTCCCTTTGTTGATTTTTTCACTATATACCATATAGGTCGGGGTTTTGTGATTAGATAATAATTGACCTAATTATGGCCCTTTGTTTTTTCTTCCCAATATAGGATATAAAGTGAACAATTTTCTGTGCGCAATTCCTCATACATTTCTCAATGGAATTTGACCAAACTTTCACAGAGGCTTTGTCATCATATTGTCAGGGTTTTGTGATTGTATAATATTTGACCTAATTATGGCCCTTTGTTTTTTTTCCTTATACAGATTATATAGTGAACAATTTTTACCATGCGCAACTTCTCTTACATTTCTCAACAGATTTTGACCAAACTTTCACAGAAGCTTTGTTATGAAGTGCCCTGGCCCACATTATCGGGGTTTTGTGATTGGATAATATTTGACCTAATTATGGCCCTTTGTTTTTTTTTCCTTATACAGAATATATAGTGATTAAATTCTTCTGTGCTGAACTCCTACATTTCTCAACGGATTTTGTTCAAACATTCACAGTAGCTTTGTCATCCAGTGCCCTGGTGCTTATTGTAGGGGTTTTGTGATTGAATATTTTTTTGTTTAATTATGGCCCTTTGTTTTTTTTCCTTATACAGAATATAATTATAGTGAACACTTCCTCTGTGGCAATTCCTCCTACATTATTCATGTTTTACATTGCACATAG